CTCTTGCTGGATTGCATCCGCTTCCCGTCACCAGGCGTGCCCTTTATCTTCATTCCATGTCAGGCACATCGCAGCAGGCCATAAGTGAATCCGATTATAACACCGTTAAAGATATCGTCTAATTGCGCCTCTTGGACCTCTTCGCCCGTAACGTTCCGAAAATGTGCATTTGTGTCATCACGTTTTACAGAGAGCAATTCCGGCAGCTCAGAGAACCGCTGTCCCAGCTCGAGATTGAGCTGACGACAGTCGACTCTGTTCAAGGACGCGAAAAGGACGTCATCATTATCCTTACCACTAAAACTAATTTTAGTCCAAATTCGGCCGAATTCTTAGACGACTACCGCAGGCTCAACGTCGCAACAACTTGCTGTCGGCATGGGCTGTTCATCATAGGACATGCGCCCTCTCTACGCGTGGTACCAACGTGGTCCCTCTTGGGCAGCTGCTCTCGCTTGACGCCATCTTCCCTAATACCCAAAAGGATGATTTCTTTTGAGCACCGACCCCACGCAGCCTGGTGAGACGGTTCTTTTATTCCTTTGCTCTATTCTTAGAATCCGGGTCGGACTTTCGGTAAAGGGGTGGGGGAGGTGTGAGCGTAGCGCCTTACGGACGCAGCGCAGTTTTCCTAAAGAATGATTCATCGAATACTTTCAGGGCGGGACAATGGCTCCCGAGATTCTTCGAGGAATCGGCCTTCCGTTTAGCGAGAGCGCTCGGATCTCACGTCTGTCTCCCTCGGAACAATGCCTTGTTTGGACGGTCCTCCTCGCCATCATTTCCTCGACTTCATCTCATTACTTTTCACTTTCTTCTTTTGTGCGTAGCAATATTGTTGTTTCATAATCGATCTTGTATCAATCTGTGTTTTGAGAATAAATCTGATATTCTTTATTGTGTCGTTAGAGAAAGTAAGGTTTATTTGCTTCCATTGCGCACGATGCTTACTGAATGAACCAACTCCGAAACTGAGTAGAAGAGAATGCGGGGTGTGAGAGGCATTCGAGAATATTGGAAGAGTAGTAATGAAGAAAAGAATATCCAATACTGCGCCCACCTATTCGACACTGCGCAAACAAGATGAACATGCACTAAGCGATATGTGAAGCGCTGTGGAAGAAGTGTTTTCGAAATTTCCCTATACACAAGTGGGAATCCAGAGCGCCGAACTCCTCTAATGAACGAAGATCAGGGCCGTTGCTGAAGCCAGAGGACGAACACTGCCGGACACGTTATACGATACCGTTATGACCGTTGTATCAGGGCGGTCACTGACTGGATCTCGGGACGTCAAACGAACACTACGACGGCGCCGCAACAGCTCTGAACGAAGGGAATGCTAGGCCTCTCAGAAGTGGCTATAGACCTCTTTTTCCTCAACGAGGACGATCCGTTGGATTACTTTGACTCGCCGAAGCGACGCATGGAGAGGTTACTGGCGTCCGCTCCATGAAACTGTTGATCAACGAATGACAGATGAACAGTAATGCTAACACCATTGAACCAACACTGCTAACACCACTGAACCAACACCTTGTTTTATCGCCGTCTACGGCGACCATCCCCTCTTAATATCTGCTCACCTCACCGTCTTAGACAACTCACTAACTTATTCCTTGCCATTTGAAGGCGTGCACACATTAGTTTAAGGGTTTCTAGTTCGGGAGGAATGGTGAAAGTAATATCCCAGAATAGTGCACAAGTGGCAAAAAATGCGAAAATCGTGAATGGAGCAACGTCTAGCCTACAGCTTCCACAACTCCGCGAGAACGCGTACTCTTTGTACTTTGGGTGTGTACGTCGGGTAGGCCGGTTTAATAAACTTGTGTCTTAGCTATTTCGTTTTTCAACCCGATAGCGTCTCCTGTGCTATCCTTGGCTCATCTAAATGAGCTATCTCAGAAACAATTTCTATCGTGAGCTGTGTCTTACAAAAGAAAATTAAGTACGCCATGTTAGTCTTACAAAATTTATCGTAAATAAAGTGCATTGAGCGCGGAATTCCACTAACAAGACTTTCCCTTTCACTGCATAACTCTACTTGGATACACGTACATATTGATCTTCACCCGTCACATATACGACGCGTCGAAAATGGACCTTGGGCAAGGACGAGTGGGTGGTGGGGGAGCCAGGGGTTTGCATATTACCATGCGCACTCGTTTGAGCCACGATCAAACAGAAACGAGGATTCAGTACAGGCACTCGGCTCTTACAGTAAGCCCGCGCGGCATAACCCCTTTTTATTACGCTAATCGAAAAGGGGCCTCGGGCAAAGACACTGGAGATCATGGTGGGGGGCTATGGGGCTACTGTAAGAGCCGAGTGCCCGTACTAAGTTTTCTCTTTTTCTGGGCCTCTATGTGATGCGGTTAGGTGGATCTAAAATTGATTGGGTCCGCAGTCTACTTCTGACATCCGCAAGGGTCAGGGGTTGGAATATTCGTTCAGTTACCTTTCTTACCGATACATGGCATCGACCTAATAACGCGAATATTATGGGACCACATCATTGCCGTAGGTTTGTGAGTTAGGGTGACTTCCCTATGAAACCTGTCAAAAAAATCAAGGTGCTTAAAAAAAAGGCGCGAGACGTCATTCCGGTCCACTAGTCCGTTTTTTCTTTTTTTCTGTCAATTTTTTTTTAATTTGATATTTTATGATGTCGAGCCGGTTTTGACCAACCGCCTCAACACGTTGTACGTGTGAATGCTGATAAGTTATGGCATACATATGTGCCATTAAGAAGGCGAGGGCAAGCGGGTTTCGGTAGTGTAAGGGTTAGAGCGCGGTTCTCGGATAGCACAAGTGCCGGTTCGAGTCCCGTTCAGGGTCGAAGTTTTGTCCATAACTCGTCAATCTTGTGAGAATTCAATATTTTATTTATTTTCACTTCTTAACGTCGCATTTGTTATACTGTGTCGATATGAGTTCGGGTTGCCTCGTAGGTTGAGGCTATTTCTGACGTGCGCGTAATAACCAATGCTGTACCTGTAATTGCGGCCAAAGCGCATCGTCGCGCCAAAACTTCAAATCATCGTCTTCTTTTCGTCAGTAGAGTAATTTGCTATATATGAGTCGTTTCTAACCAAAGCAGTAGCGCTTCGTTATTCGTGATTTGTGATAGGTTCACCTCTGATGAAGTTGTTTTGCAGTATAGCATGAGTGTTTAGGAAAATGGCGGGTGGAATGCACTTCCTCATTGGCATCGCCACAGATGACTACGTAATTTTGGCGAGTGATAAAGCCACCTTCGCTTATGGAGCTGTTCTCGCGGACAGCGGTTAGTTTCGTTTCAATTCTCTGTTTCTTTTGTGAGTATTTCAAGGCTATGTGCAGAACCACAGCGGCTTTTTGTGATGATTTATCTGCTATCTGAATTTTGTGAAAAAAGGAGGCTTTCTCCTCCGAGAGAGGCTTTCTTGACTTCTTTAGCTGTGATTCAAGCAACAAGATCACTGATCATGAGATTGACTGTGCTTGATAAGCTGGGTCGTACTGGCAGAGCATTGCTCTGATGCCTAGGCAAGTGCTGTCCATCTCAAACTCTTACCATATTCGGAATCTAATGCCGAGAAGTAGCACCATTGAACGTGGGTAGACGTACGCTTGGAGGTAGCTCATGTCGTTGCTCATGACGCTCTTGCATCTGTGAGTTCTCCTGGACCGCGTACCCCAGTACTTCTCGTTCTCGTCCCCTAGCTATATTCGCAAAACATAATCCAGAGCAATTGCTGTCGATCACATTTGATTTACATCTAATCAATCCTCAATGCACATCAATCTCAAGAAAAACGGTGATTTAAAACACTCACGAAATCACTCTATCAAATACATTTTATTCGGAATGGCCCCGTTTTTCAAAGGGCAAACTTGAGTTTCAACGAGACGCAGTCAGCAGTTTGGAGACATTCCCCTACGAGAGTATTCCCAATATTTCCATCGTCAGAACATCCGTAATAATCACTTCGGCTCGCAATTGATTGACACCAAAAAATGTTAATATACAATTTGGTATCTTCATCGTTTTCTTCTTTTCTTTTAGCCATTAAATTATCGGCCTTTGAGATCATCATTCACTGTCTTCTAGTGGTTCTTATATTTTTGTGCTTTACATCTTTAATAGTGATTGTTTTCATAGACGATGAGTGTTTTCAGAAAATGATAAGGAATATCGCTTGGGGAAGAAGTTAACAATGATGTGTATCGGCGAAGAAGGGGATGTAGCTCAATTCGGTGATTGGACAAAGCGAAATATCAGACTTTATGCGATCAGAAACGGTAATTGCAGCCTTATTAATGCTACTGCAGTGTCTTCTTCTCCTCTGATAGTACAACTTTCATTCAGGCTACGAATTATGCCCTAGAAGTGCACACCACTGGATTCGTCGGGGAATCGCAGAAGCTTTACGTACTGAAGATTACTATGCAGTTGACATCCTTCTTGGAGGGTGGGAGCTCAATTTTGATCAGTCTTCATGGTTTTTTTTTTCAGAATCGTTGAATGTACAGCGAAATTGTAGAAAATTCCAGATTGTATTAGAATATAGAATTGGATTACTTGTTAATGGTTCTGTTTAGGTACGACGACAAGGAAAATAGAGCGTTCCTTGGTTCGGTTGATTATCTTGGCAATGGATTAGATGATCAAGTACGTTCTGACTTTTTGTTGAATCTCTATTTTTCGTATTCCATATTCGTTTAATTTTATTCACATTCATCNATCTGAAGTCTCAAAATATCGCTTGCTTCATTACAGCCGTACCTGTTCCGCGGCTTCTGTGGCCGGTTTTGCTACGCCATAATGGATAGGGAGTATAAAAAGAGTGAGAACTTTTCGAGTTCATATAGTTTCGATTGTGATTCATATACCTTTCATAACGGATCAGTCCACAAGATGCTCCTAACTGTCTCTTTCTTAGATATGACAGAAGAGGAAGGGCTCTCACTCTTACACAAGTGTATCGCGGAGGCTAAGCGAAGATTTGTCGCCAATTTACCGGGATATAAGGTTCAGCATATTTGTTTGCTGAAAACTTCAGAGGGTTGCATCTATTGGAATGCTATTTCAGGTAGTCATCATTGACAAGAAAGGCTACAGACAGTTGACGGATATCAAAGTTTAACTTTTAATGAACACCTCAAGGGGAGCCTGCACGAATCAAGGAGCCGTTAAATTTCTTCCTCATTTATTATTTGTTTCCTTTTCTAATATTGTCTCTTGCAATGCGAAATATAAATTATTATGGTAGTATCAACCTGTACTTCATCAACACAAAAGTCCGACTAAGTAACTTTACATGGTCGCGGAAAAGCATGCTGCCACTGATCTGGCCAGTTATGAGCTTACAATTTTATATATTTATGACATTTCGGTGAGAAGTTCCTTCCTCTTAGTTTCGATAAGGTTCGCGCCTTTCTCTTCCATGGCATGCTTGAGATCAAGCAACAACTGACGAGTGTGACGCTCTTCGTCAGCTTTTGTCGTTGATTGAGCCGATTTCTTTTCAAAACGTGTATAAATCTGAATTTGAAGGATGTAGTACTTGATGAGGTACATTAAAATGCCACACATACTTCGTTCAAGGCTTGTTTATACTCATTCAAAATCTGTCCCTTGGCATCACGTGCAAGTTGCTCCCGCCTTTCCCTGGTCATCCTCGGAACAGGCACATACAGGACGACTCCTTCGTGTTGCGGTGTAACGTTGAGATAGGACTTCTGGATTAAAAGCAGTAAACATGAACTAAAGGAAAAGCTACACTTCATACCTGAATTGCTAATTTCGCCCATTTGATGGCTGAAGGATTATCGGCAAAATTGATCATAACCATTGTTGGACTTTTCAGTGAGACTCTACCTAAGTGGCCCAATCTGTGTTCCTAAAGTGGAAGCAGCTCTTATAAAAGAACATCGGGTCTAGTAGTTAGCTATTGTTGCGTACATCGCCCTTTTCCAATTTAACCATCAAATCCTCGTAAATGCGAAGGTCCACCTGGAAAGAGGAGTTTAGCTCCGCGCGACGGATTTTGCATGTGTGACGGTACCTGCAGAGAGAAATGTTTCGCTAACTCTTCGCCAAGCACCNTAGTAGTTAGCTATTGTTGCGTACATCGCCCTTTTCCAATTTAACCATCAAATCCTCGTAAATGCGAAGGTCCACCTGGAAAGAGGAGTTTCACTTCCGTGCGACGGATTTTGCATATGTGACGGTACCTGCAGAGAGAAATGTTTCGCTAACTCTTCGCCAAGCACCACTTCAACCTCTTTCATTTCCTTCAACGCTCCTTGAACGAACACGTTATCTTCTGAAGCAGCTACGGCAGAATGGAGGATTGAAGAGGCTTGCTAAATAAATAGCGCTTCTGCATACTAACAACACGAAAACTCTTTACGAAAATTGCTCATTGAAGCTTAGCAACTAAAAGCACATTCAATCCAGCACAAAGTAATCTCGCTTATATGGTCACAATAAGGCTGTTAACGGGAGCTGTTGTCATCCACGCATCTAGGTGGGAACCATACACTATGCATTAATGTAATGCTGCTGGTGTGGCGTAACAACGGGAGCCAGAAATCGCCGGAGACTGCTAACCATCTTGAGTTACTCCAGGTACGACCCAGGCCGTTAGGAAAGAGCCACGATCCCAGTTTGAAAAATTCTTTTTATCCTGCTAAGCAAAAGCTATACCTCGAGAACAATGTATGACTTCAAAGCAACGAAATCATCTCATTTTATGTCAACATTATTCCCTGAACATATTTCAATTAGCCCCAGGTCAATGGAAAGACATCATAGGTCCACAAGTCAAACACTTGTTGGTGCAGTCATTGCAAGGGCAATGAAAACAAGAGAGGTGTTTGGGAGGGAGGGAGAGCGGGGGATAGGGGGGCGGGATGTTGTGGGAGAAGTAAAGGGTTTAGCTACACCTCATACATATCTACAACAAAATAAACAATATGTAATTATATTTCATACATACCTATACCAACATAGCACTTAAACGATAAATAGCACGAGACAACAGCGATCGAACAAAAAAGTTGCTCTAGGCTTTCGGAACAATTATGGATTCCATTAACTGAAATAAAGCGCACAAACTTTTTTAATTTTCTCCGTTCTTCTAACTTTGGCGTTGGTAGCAGACATGTGTATCCGCACAGCAGATGGAAGTGTTGAAGAAGAAATCCTGCTCCGCCACAATAAGTTTGCAAGCCGAGGTGGACCGAATAAGAGTGATAACCTCATCGCCCTAAAATGGACGGTTTGAAATTTCTAGCTAAAAACACGATATACGAACCTTCAACTAGTGCACAGAAATTTAAAGTAAACAGTCTACGTCAGGGTTCAACTGATCTCGCTGAGAGCTTCACAAGAAGGAGCAGTCCTCCGTGCGTTGTATTAGTCAGGGTGAGTAGTCCCACTGCAACACAGCCCTCCTACACTGGTTCATCACGGTGACTTCTCAACAAAATGACCACCAGCGGAAGCAGGGCATGTCCAATCGCTGAGCTCTCTCCCAAACCCTACACTCTTTCGTCAAGAGCGGAAATGGGAATGGGTGTGCAAGTCAAAGACGGTTCAGAAAGTAGAAGTCTCACCATACTATGAAGACAGCATACTTTGGAGTCATAAGCCCAGAGAGAAGAGAGTGTAATATAGTTCGCCAAAAATTGTTACTGGTTGACCAGTTGAAGAACTCTAAGTGGAAAGAAGGCCTGATCTTTGCTGTAGTATTAAGAAATCGACAGCATATGATCTTTCATCGGTGAACATTCTGTGGGGTATTGCAAGACATTACAGCTTTTGTTTGGGTGAGATCGCTGAACATGAGATCGCTGAAGATTAGCTGCAACAATCAATCCAAACACAACAGGTTTCGGTTTCTTTTGTTTACTCTTCGGTTTCATCTCTGCTTTACAGCCCATTTATGAAATAAGAGTATATATGTTTGGTTCCAAATTAGATCACTTCAACTTAGATCACCAATTTGTGACTAATTGCCAGACTCAGTTGAACGACCCCTTAACCTAACCCACTTCCTTAAATGGTGCGGAGTCAAGCGGGACCTCAAAAAGCGTGGCACTCACTTCTTCCTCGAACAACGTCAAGGGAATGGCAAGACGTAAGTTGTGTATTTGTATGAGATTACTATTACTGCTTCTTAGTCTATCACTGCTGTAAAATCCGCACTTACATTTTATTAGTTAAATTCTTTGCTCCGTTATCACCGGTGTCATGAAAACCTACTGAATCACCCACACATTTTTGCTAATATAGTTTTGATTTCCCAATATTTTGTCTTGTTTCCGTTAAATGTACAGTTGCTCTGATAACAGTAATGAAGTTTCCAATTCGTAGAATGGATATTAGTTTAGCTGAGTCGTCAAACACGAAGGTACCGACCGAGTAAACGTACATTTGAACAGGTGCTCGCTTCGAACGGTAGCGGTGAGATGAAAAAAATAGGACTGTGCGTGGATGCGGGCGGAATAGTTGGGGTGTGGTGCGATTCACGCGCCAATAAAATGAGGTNTTAGAAGTGTAGGAAATGACACCACTGTATATGTGAGTGTACAATAAACACGCCACACAGCTTGCTCTAAAAACGACTTAGGAAAAGGGTAGAATCACAGTGGCTGTGGTAGTACATGAAAGAATAAAAGTGAGCGCAAAGTTACGGTAGTGGCCGCTAGTACGCAATTGCAGACTACTACAGTAAGAAGGGTATTCCAGGTTCCCCGCTAACATGTGTTCGCATTGGCTCGAAAGAACCAGAACCACGACGTCTTCCATTGCGTGGGCTGCGAGAAAATGAGCGCCTAGAAAACAATAAAGGTTCCACGCAGTTTTTTCAACTTATTTTTTTGAAATTAATTATAATATAACGATCTTTTTCTTGAGGTGATTGGTGGCGAGTTCGTAAGTGACCCATGCACCACTGACCACGTTTGCGCCAATCCCCCTGTAGCGGGAGGGGATAAAGCCAAAAGGATAGGATATGTGGTTTTCATAACAACTTACATCCATGTTGTGTGAGTTTGCAAGGATCTCATTTTTCAGACGGTTCAAGAGGTAAAAGGTGACCCACTCTACGGAGGACGTGTTCCAAAGCAAGTGTATGAGGAAATGATGACGAAGGCTAACTTGGAATACGATGGTAAGTCTCACTTTGGAACGTAGAAAACTGAACTGCACTATAGCCTCTTGTTGCAGAGGACGTTATGAAATCGCTTTATGGATGGGGATTTGGAATGAAAAGGCAGGCTATATCGAGGTAATTTGCAGTACGCCCATTACTGAAGTACATTCAACGTGCTAGGCTCCTTTCAGAGCCATTAGTTCGTTGAAGGACAGGGAAGTGGCCCTCGAAAACATAATTGAAGAACTGGCGCAGCTCTCCGATGGAAGGACATTTGTGCACGAGCAGAATGGTGAGTTGCATGTTTCCTATTCAGAGAGATAACCATTGAGGTGAGGCGCTTTTGCTAGTTCTGTGCAATATTGAAAGCAACCAAGATGGATCGTTACAGATGGCCTGCACGAACGGCTTGTACGCCGTCGTAGCTGATGGCGTACACCCGAAGCAGCCCTGTTGAGTCCAGGGCTTGTGCAACGGTGGTGTCGAGGTCCCTCTTCTGGATTCAATGACGGCACGAAAAACCGAGGATGTTTACCCACGCATTTTCGGGCACCTCAAGAACCTCTTCGAAACGTGCCCGAGGCCAATGCAACCACTGCGGATTGTCCTCGTTTTCGAGAAGGCGTCCACAGCAGCCGTCCGCCGGCTATTGCCCGAACCGAGGGTGAAAGGTTGCACTTTTCATCTAGCGCAAGCTTGGAACAGGTGAAAGCTTTACTCTGCAGGTAACATTGAACAAATCCCAACGTGACTTTATCTCAGGCGGGGGGACACGTGCAACTTGAGGAAGTTTATACAAGGGCATGGTCGAATACCATTCGTGGCGGAATGGTGGGGCACCACCAAAGGAGTGGTTTTCCTGCCAAAGCGTCTCTGCCCAGAGGTAAGTTTCTATCCTGAAATCAGCTGAATTATTTTTCAGGTGAGAGCGCTATGGAGACCGCCAGTGCCCGAAGACCACGTCGCTTACGAATAATGCAAGGAGTTCCTGGAATACTTGCATTCGACGTTGTTCGATGGCCCGTACAAGGATATGTGGAAAAAGTGGGAATCGGTGGAACGGAGGCCACAAGTAAGCTTCGAACTTGGCAAGTGATATAACCTTCAAATTAATAGCCTCTGAATTCAGTCGTCTCAATGTGGTGTTCGGAAGGGACTACCCCTTAGGACTCTGACAAAAAAAGTTGGAAAACATCGATTTCGAGGCAGAACGGTCATTGCAGTGGATAGGGTAAGATAGTTATTTCTTGTAACCTACACGGGTAACCAGAAAATAGGGGCAAAGACAATAATAGTTCCAGCATCTCAACGAGGAAAATCATCTGCGGAAGAAGGACGAAAGAAGACACAACATTGAACACAGCATGAAAATGTACAAATAGAAGTTAATTGGTGCTAAAGTATATGAATAATCCCGATTTACTTAGGTTCGGAGAACGGTATCTCAGAGGAGTCACGAGAGCCGAAATAGAAGAATATTGTAAATATATTTCGAGATATGTATCCCGAAAAACTATTTAATAATGTGCATGACAATAAAGTAAATGTTGGAAATAAACATTATGATAAACAAATGTTTTTCAAGGAAGAAATAATAAAGCACTCACCATACGATCAGTCCATCATACATATGTACTGCAAGTTACTTTAAAGTGGTAAGTATCAGGCTTCAAAACGACCATGATACTATCACTCTATTGTAACTCAGCAGTATTCATTTGAAAAGGGGTTCAAAAATCTTGTGAATCAAAAAAGGGCGAAAAAATAGCCAAATAAACGGTAGAAATTGACAGAATACAGGTAGGTCCGCAATTCGGCGTCTAATTATAGCGGCGTCATCGATCGGGCGTGTATCAGTTGAATGGGAGGTGGTTAGGCTGACTAGCATTGTCAGAAGGTTGAATCAGAGTTGCCCAGCTCACAAACAGAGTCGAGTGGGCGGCCCAAAGGAGGCAGTTATAAGCCTATGTGCCCCAATGGCAAGTTTGGTGGGAGGGGCCGCGCCAAGCGACCTGCTCCCGGATGGGCAGTGGGTCAGCCGATTAGCAGGGTCAAGAGGATGAATCGCTTGGACTAGTTGTCTAGCTTAGAAACCGTGTCGAATGGGCGACACGATGCAAGAGGCCGCGCCAAACGCCACCTCTCGGGAGTATGTCGTTTGGCGCGGGCTGAACAACTCGTCCAGGTGATTCAACCTTCTAGCCGAATAGACTATGTAAATAGGCATAAAACAAGTGGGTTTGCATCTCGATGACTAATAGCAGCGGCGTCATCGATGGGACGTCTATAACCTGGATGGGCAGTGAGCTGTCCGATCACCTGAACGAGTTGTCCAGCTCGTCGAACGGGCGGAGCGATGCGAGGGGCTGGGCCAAACGAGGGGCGCGGTCCTGGCGCGAACGGCGTATCGGCACCTGCACGTCGGCTATACTAGACGCGTGCTCTGAGCTAAAACCATCCGGCAAAGTGTCTGCATATCGTCGTCCTATCCGGCTGCCACCGCCCGTCGTCCTGCCGTCGTACCCGCTCGAGGATGGAGACATGATGCAATCCGACTGAATGCGTGGTGATCGACTCGGGCATGGGAGAACGATGGCGGCGAGCGATCCCAAGTCACGTTGCCCCAGTGAGAAATAATGTACTGGGTTCGATCCTCCTGATACGTAGGTTTACTGGTTATCATCGTGACTTTATTTTATTGAAGTATTTAATGTTTTCCTTTTGTGCATAGATGTATTTAAAATGTACTTTCCTCTTTACCGTTTCTTCCTTTTGACGTATCATTATTCTTTTTCTTGGCCTACCCATGAAGGACCGCGTAGAATATTGTGTTGGCAGTTTAATATCGTAGACGTTACGCCGTGAAGGGTTATATCTGGCTCGATTGATGAAGTTGGGCCGCGCGTAGGCTGTTTCATCTTGTAGGGCGTAGCACGCGTAGGGTCATCGTTGTGATGTTGGACAAGCGTAGGGGCTGCAAGGGCCAAAGCAACCCGCGTGGCAATGGGGCGAGAGCGAGTGCTGGGAGGACCCCAATCAGGCATTCACGCCGGCGGCAACGCCGCTTCTAAGCAAACCCCGATTCCCTTGTATAGCGAGGAGCAAGGCGTCACCGCCTGCGCGACACCATCCCCCGATGCGTAGTCCTATAGAACACTGCGCAACTGGGATTGTGTTGAGTCACTGGTGCTGTAGACCTTTGAACGTAGGTCTCAGTAGTACTCACAATATGAAGATTAATTAGCGAACAGCGAAAAACATGAATTTTGTAAAATATCAGAATTTAGGGCGCATCGCACAGACTGGTTAATGCCGAAAGGCTTGATATTTCGTTAACTGCGGTCATTTCGCCGCAGTACGCTTCCAAAAGTCTCTTAAGGTCGGCAATTTGTAGACGAAAACTCGGTCTCGAAGGGAACCTCGAACCCGCATTTCTGCTTTCTGGGCACAGTGCTCTATCCCCTGCACTACCACGATCCGCCTTGCCCTCGTGTTCTCAATGGCTTACCACTGCCACTCGGCCAACACCGGGCTTCCCTCCTTCTTATGGTAGGGTTGTAATAATCAGCAAATCGACCCCTCCTCATTTGGAACAAATGGTATTTTTGGGAACACGAAAATCGACAGGGGACCAACGGGACTGCAAGATGTATTCAAAATAAGCCGTTGCTAATGCCTATGATCAGAAGTCCTAATCTGTTGCTGTTCATCTTAGAAATAATGACCCAATGAGGGTCTATCTGGTAGACAACCAAAGCCCTGAATGGCATTTATAGATGTTGTCGAGCCATACCATTAGCAAATGTCTTTACTAATAAAGCATCCTCTCTCCACGCATTTACCATTAAAGGCACAGTTCACCATAATTTTGGGTAATCCAAATTATGACGAAAAATGGAAGACAAAATCGAAACTAGTGTGACTGAGGTGAAGAAACTGCGTGCATCGGTGTTTAAGTGCGACTGAGGTGAAGAAACTGCGTGCATCGGTGTTTCCAAAGTGAGAAAAAGAAGCTTCGAAAAACCGTTAAAAAGGGGGCTGGACGAGAATGAAGCCAGAAAAGCTTTCAGAAACCGTTAAAAAGGGGGCTGGACGAGAATGAAACAAGAAAAGTGAGGAAGAGTGGGGCGTCCGGACGAGCTAAACGGTGTGTTTCACTGCGCGCGTGTGGGTCCTGGTGCGAATAACAGAGAATGGTAAGCGAAAATTCATTCACTTATAAGCATGAATAAACAAAAAAATCCTAGTAAGAGCAAAAGTAACTCACCTTTTTCAGCCTCTAGGAGTAGGAAATTGAATAAGGGATCACGGCAGCAAAAAGAAAAACAGAGGGAAAAGGAATGGGGGAAAAACGTCGCCTCATNCCCTTTTTCAGCCTCTAGGAGTAGGAAATTAAATAAGGGATCGCGGCAGCAAAAAGAAAAACAGAGGGAAAAGGAATGGGGGAAAAACGTCGCCTCATTACTCGGCAATTAGCTGATGTGCGTGGGTCCTAGAACGAATAATAGCAATCTGTATTGTCTCGACGCTCGTCTAACGTAACACCGATCGAGGGGCGGGAAAGAGAACTACGGCAGCAACGGGGCTTCCACTATGCTTTAAGCGCCGAGATTGTGGGAGCGAGAGGGTCCCTTCTACCAACCGTGGGGGCGCTGAGTATTTCTAAAGGAAGAACTCAGTAATTTTTTCACCGTGAACCGTGTCTTTAAATGAGAATCCAAGTTCATCAGGGTCGGATAGGTTTTGCCAAGAATGATATGGAGGCGAGAGAAAAAGTGATTCGTCATTGAGTCACAATTTTGCTGGGTAGCGATCGTAAGCAAGAAGTGAACCAAATTTCAACACCTCATAATCGATCCCTATTACTGTACCTATCCTTCTTGTCGAATGAAACATATCAGAGGATCAAAGCTAGGACCTACATAACAAACGCGCTAGGATTTAATTGATGATTGGATCCTGTTCTCTAGGACCTCTTCTATCGTCAGTGTTCCCATCCTGCCGCCTACACTCCTGCCAATTTTGAATGCTTTTCGCAAACCCCGCCCCCTGGGACGCGGACCGGTCCTGCCACCCACCATATATGTTCTCATCTTGCCTTCAATGATCCTGTTAAATTCAAACGCTCTTTACCAAGTTCAGAAGATACGGCAAGGAAACTTACTGCTCTATCTTCCCCGCTTCATTCCTGTTAGCCCAAGGAGGCTGACGTTGCAGTAGGCACTAAGTTCGGACTGCTTGCTACCTCGATCTTCAGATTGGTGCGGCAGCATGCCAAGAAACAATCTCACCCCATCACAAAAACCTGGGCTCAAGGAATTATGCGACTGCATAAGGGCGATTAGAATCTGGCTGTCATTTAGCGAGAACGGGGAAGTGTTCATTCTTCTCTTACAAGAACTTGGCAAGGCCATCGCGAAGTTGCATTATTATGCCAAGATTGAAAGAAAGTCGAACATGGACCATAACTCCTGTCCACGTTAATATCGTGAATATCAAGCAATCCACTCTATGACACCGGGGAGTCGGTATTTGTGTACAATTGTAATTACTTCGCCATTTCCTCGCACTTCCGCTCACTCGCCTGTAGGGGTGATCTCTCTTAATTGGCTGGCTGCTGACCTATCTGGTAGTCTCGCTTACAATATTGATTTTATTAATTGGAAACTTTATTATCATTATTATTATTACTATTGGGCGGGGGTGGTGTAGTGGCAAGTGGCGCACTATATCACACGCACGGTCAGGGGTTCGAATCCCGGATCGATGCCCGCCTAGGCCAACCAAGCCTTCCATCCCCTCGGGGTCGGTGAATTGGTACCAGACTCGTCTGGGAGGATAAAAGCACTGACTTGTACATCGGCTGGCCACCGCAAGTCATTGTATAGGCCACATACGCACTCATTACGCCACTACGATTCTGAATGGAAGTCGAGTGCGGGGGCGCATCCCTCAGACGGGATTGATTAACGCCAAAAACTTTATCCTTTTATCCTTTATTATTACTATTATTATTATTATTATTATTATTATTATTATTATTATTATTATTATTATACCTTTTAAAATAATATGTAGTTAATACAAGAGAATGTTCGGTGAAAATGTAGTTGGGGGGTGCCAGGCACTTTTGTGCTCTTCATTTCTTACCTCATCTAATCATCTCACCCATCCCGGAGCTCCTCCCCTTCTAAATGTTAGGGAAGGAGCTCCGGGGTCGGTGAACCAATTGGATGTTCAATTCTTACCCCATCCCAGCTTTTTGCACGAGATAATCATCTCTCTCACTCCGGAGCTCTTCCCATAACTTCTAGAAGGGGAGAATCCATCTCTGCGATCTCTATGCACCCTGCTGCCGGTATCAGAGACGCAGAGCACGAAAGGGCGCTGGCACCCCCCAACTACATTTTCACCCAATGTTCAAACTCAAGATCATCGCATTACAGGAAAACTATGTAGCCTAATTTAACGTATCTAAGCATCTTTTTGGAGTTTTCTCTACTATGTGCTGTATGCTATGC